TATCGATCGCAATTGAAAATCTTCAATTACAGCGCTATTATATACATATATTCAGACTGAAAAGTTTATTTGAATTTAATTTATTGAATATAATTTAATTCTATTTTATATTTACAAAATAAATTATATTGTAATTAAAAAATTACTTTAATTTAAATTATAAGTCTTGATATTTTTAATTGTCTTTAAATTAAAGGCAATCTTAAAAAATTATTTATTACTCGCAAAGCAAATTACTTAGCGTATACATTCATATTACGTGCATTCCTGTAGCTTTCAACCATTGAAGTACAAACATACCTAGTAGGTATAATTTATTATCGAAAATTTACATACGAACTGTTTAGTCTATCATTCGATATTAGAATTCATTGCTCTAAATGGGCAATAAAAACCATTATGATAATAATTTTAATATTAATATTATTGCAAATATTACCATTATCATTTAATTATATTCTCTCACAACTACAAACTTATAATATTACCTACATTCTATATTAACCATACCAAGCAGCTATTTATTTAAAATATAAATTTATCATTGATAAAACTCACTCAATTCTCAATTGAGTGATAAATTATAATGATATTAAAGACTGTGATTTTGTTAATTTAGAATTATTAAGAGTAATTCTCTTCGATTCATTACTACATTGTTGTTATTAAAAACTAAAAAGAATAGCTAGTCTAGTATAGGGTATGAATCACAAAAGCGTTTAAATTTTAATTCTTTTTCATATTTAATATTATCATATAGGGGTATCGTTTTGTATATCGTAAATATTTGTAGAAATTAATTGTTTTTGTTTTTTTTTGTTATTTTTTGTTTGGTTAGTTTGTGTGTTCCTTACAAGAATAAAAGAATATTGTCTTCGTATTCTTTAATTCTTCTATTTTCTTTATTTAAATTTTTTTTTCTTGTTTTGTTTTTTTTTTTCAATTCAATATTATTTTGTGATTCGCATTTTTGTTGTTGAACAAAATACTCGTAAAATTTATTCACTCATTTCATTTTATTGTTTACTGTCAAACGCAACAAACGGCTGAAAAATTAAATTAAACGCTTAAGAAATAAGTAAGAAGAATTTGTTGTTTTCTATAATTAAAACTTAATTTTATATTTACGATAATATTTTACATGAAATTTGAAATAATTATAAAATTCAATATTTTCATATTAAAATTACGTATATATGTATAATAGTTCAGAGTAACGGTAAAAAGGGGAAAAAATTTGGAATTTATGAAAGCCTATTTTTTTTAAATTACTTTTTAGCCGACTGCGTTTATTTAAACATTAAATGAAATTATTATAAAAATTTTAATAAATTTTTTTTTAAATATTTTAAACGCATTAAATTATTTTTTATCAACTGGTGTTTGACAACAATAACAATAAAATCCACGACTATAGCACCTATTATATTAAAAAAAAAATTACTAATAATAAAGACAAAGTGCAATACACTGCCATAACTTATGAGATAAATCGCGGAATTCAAGTGATAAAAATATTATAATCAAAAAGTAATAATATTTGTGATAAGATAGAAGTTATATAGGTATATCAGTGGCCTCAAACACAAACCGCCTAACTCGAGTTAAGACAAAAATGAGATATGTTTACCAGCGAATTCTCCGTTTTGAGTTTCATATGCTCACGAAATTTGGTGGTTCTACGACTGTTGTGGCCGGAGTTATTGTCGAATTCACACATGACCTAACTCGAAATGGTAACTATGTGCACTTGCACTAATCGCCTAAATCGAGTTAAGAGCAGAAAACATCTTTTTTATGTTTTTGACAAACCACTTATCTCGAGATAGGCTATTGTTGCAAATCGAAATTAGTGACATTTTTTTTTATTTGTATGAATTTTTACAACCGCTTATCTCGAGTTAAGCTTTTGTTGCAAAATTAATTTTGAGTGTTTTTAAATATTAACTCGAGATAAGCGATTTGTGTAAAATAATAATTGTTGGTTGTTTAAACTCATCTCGAGTTAGGCGATTATTGCAAATACAATTATATTCCATAAGGCTTCTTATGTCGAGTTAGGTTTTTATAACGCGTGCAAATAAGAATCAAAAACCAAAGTTAAGCGTTTAGTGTTCGAAATAATACATGATCAGTATAGAATATTTTTTAGTTTTTTATAATAAAAAATATTTTATAACGCTTAACATATTATTTTATTTGATATATAGTGTAGGTACTTTATGTCCATGATTTAAAACTTGTTCACTATAGTTAAAATTAAATCTTACATTCAGCGACAAGAAAATAATTGTATTTTTTAACACAAAATATAAAACATCTGCAGAAGTTACCTGCATTATTAGTGCTCTAATTACCCAAATATCCCATGTTTAAGATTTGAATTTTTTTTTTTAACAAATAATATATTAGGCTATTTCGTGATTTACCTGCGACAAATGTTTTTTTCAATTGACGGAGTTCTCATGTTAAAATGACACGTGGCTAGCTACCTGATGGTAGATTGTTTTGCCTTTGTGGTCTAAATGTATTATCAAAGTGTTGTTTTATTACGCCCTTGTAAAACACATGTTATTAGGAAGATCAAATTTTTGTGTTTAACAAGAGTTTTTATTCTAATTATTGTACTAAAAAGCAATATTTTTATTATACACTAGTAAAACACATTTTGTTAGAAAATTCAAATATAATTTGCAAGGGTTTTCAATAAACAAAATTGGTACATCTGGGAATAACAATATTTTGTTATACTTTTTGTTACTTATTTCCGTGAGATCAAATTTCTTCGATTTTTTGTTATTTCCAAGGAAGTATTTTTTACAAAGACAGTTATTTATTATTGTTTTTAAATGTGCTGATGTTGGAAATTGTTAAATAATGCAAAAATTATCCAATATAAACTTTATTCACGCTTAACAAATGTGCGTTAAAAATCTTGGAACTTGCTAGGAGAGCTGAGATGATTGTGGCGGATGTTAGAGGTATTGCAATATATTTGAAACTAACATAACGGATTCAAAGTGTTTTAAAGCGTAGAAATTAGCGAAACTGGTCCTATAGTAAATAAACAAGTATTTACACAAGAGATTTTACTTTGAAAACCGAAGTTAATACAGTTTTGAAAACCGCAATTGACTCTGGTCGTGGTGACTGTATTAATGATCCTGATTTTAAAACTGACAACATTCAAAAGCAAGTTTTCGAGTACTATTGGGCATGTGAACATATCTGTAGAGATAAAAAAATATGAAAGGCTTTCTACTTTTATTCTTTAAGAAAAATCCTTTTACAATTTGCCAAACGGTTAGAAAGATTCGCTTAATACTTCGCGACCGGGCTTCCTGAATGCCCTCAAGTACATGAACGCTCAAAACTTACTCGTGGTCAATTTGTATGGAGTCTTAATTGAAAAGTAAATGCTGACAGCTAAAATAAAAATGTCGAGCAAACTTACAATATTCTTTGTTTATTTGAAAATCAAATACTTATATGCTCTATGATAGCAGAGCAAATTCCGAACCAATTTACTTTGCCACAACTTTTTACGGAGATCTATATACTTTTTATGGCAGAACTTAGAGAAAAACTGACGAACAAACCGTTTTCTATAAGTAATTAATAATACGTCTCCAAGATTTAATTTTCACAAGTATCGAATTATTATTTTCTATACGAGTTCGAGTTCACTATCGAATTTGACTTTTCATTACAGTAGTTGTAATGACTCACACTCAATTTCATTTTGTTTTTGATTTAAAAATTTTAATTAATTCGCATTTAGTATCATTATGAACAAGTAAGAAAGTCATATGGACTATAGTACATAAATAAAATAACAAACATAAAACTCATAAACTCATTTTAGAGATTACTTTATGTGCTAATTTTTACAATAATGTAACAACTTTGTCAGATCCGTTGCACAATGAAGCCTTTTTGTAATTGAATTACTTTTTGAAATTCTCTTAAGTGGAAAGAGTCGCACCACAGATTTCAAAAAATTGACTTCCAAAAATATTTTATAAGAACAGTTTATACAAAGATTTTTTATATTTTAAGACGAGGTGTTAATTAGTTAGATTTTCAAGACATGCTCCAAATTGAAGAAGAAGAGAAAATTAGTCCCAAAAAAGAAAAACATAGAGTACTTGATGCAATTTTTTAATATGTTGGTTTACAAATTTTACAAAACGATTAAGACTGGAGATTTAGCAGATACTCATCCATATTTAGTTGAAGAATCCAAGAGAGAATAAGAGATACTGTCACCTTTCTTAAATTTAATAAAAAAATTATTTTTAAACTTTTAGAAATAATTTTTACTTGAAGTTTATTCATTTTTTACCTCAATTTATGTTTTTTATGACAATGATTTGAAAAAAAACTGAAAAATCAAATAACGTAAAAATAATATATATATTTCTTCCCTTTTCAATACAACTTAAGTCACCTAAAACCATATTTTCAGTTTTGCAACAACAGCTTAAGTCGACTTAAGTTTGACGAAAATGCAAAAGTAATTTTTCACAAATCGCCTAAGTCGAGTTATGCTTTGCAAAGTGCTTTTTATAAATTTTGTATAACCGCCTATCTCACTTTTTTCATAATTATGAGAATACTATTAGTTGTTTAACTTCAGATTATGAGTTAATCGCTTCCTTTTTTAATAATCTTTCAATCAAAAAAAAAATTGGTTCAAAAAACTTCATAACTTTTTTCAAAATTAAATTTAAAGTTTAAAATGCATTTATCTCGAAATCACTAAAACAGACTTAAGTCGTTTGTGCTTGAAGCCACTGATATATGAATAGTAACCAAGAAAAATTAAAACGAGTTAAACAAATTTACAAAGTGTTACAAGATAAAATATAAAAAAAAAATTAATAGTAACAAAAGAATAAAGAAAATTTACAATTACATTTGATTATCGATTCAACAACATTTTGAAATTTCCTTCCTAATAATAGAAACAGAAAAAAAAATAAAACTAAAAATATTTATAGTGTAAAAGAATTTATTTGAAAAAAGAAAATTTATTTAAATGATATTATTTATAAATTGTTAAATATTGTACAAAGTGATATTTAAATAATTTTATATATTTTTCAAAATCAGCATTAAATGATAAAAAAGAACATTTACCTAATTGGAATCATCAAGAATACGTGGTAAGTCATAAATATTTTTATATTACCTATAGCTTTTAAATAAAAAATTTTAATATTGTAGAAAAACTAATAAAATTCTGAATAGCTGTACTTGTATTTTAAAAATTTTTCGGTATAACACATAAGAAATTTCATATAACACTGCCAAAGAAGATTTTTTTGTAATTTGCAATACAATATTAAAATATATGGTGGGATATTTCTATTTGAACATAATTATTATAGGTATACCAACATATTAGCAGCTTATTAAGAACTACAACCTCGGTTTTAATTTTTTATACAAAATAAACTTATTTCATTTATTTTAAAATCTTTATTCAAAATATTTTAAACCCTTGAAACTCATAAAAATTTATTCACTTTTATAAAGCTTAAAATTTTTACTTAATTCTTACTATTTATTTTAAATTTCTTATAATGCAATATAGACTACTTGTATGTTAAATGATATAGGAGTTCTTAAACCAAAAATTTTTAAGAACTTTCGGACATAATGAGATTTCGTACATATTTGTGCAACAACTTCTTTGTACCTATTGCAATTAACATCTTCCTTCTAATATTATATTGCCCTCTCTTTATATTGATCTTTCTCGTAAAAAAATAGTGACTTATTAGTTAACTCTTATGATAATAATTAACTATACCTGAACCAAAGGCTACCGTCTACATTTTCAACAACTTGTACATAATATAATACTTATATTTCTTTTTTCTAATTATTTGTCATACAGCGAATTTGTTGCATTTATAGCATTGTCTACTTCAATTATTAATTTTAATTTTGTATTATCAATTGCTATGTTAATTGAAACAAAATTGAAAATTCAATGAGCAAGTGAAATAAAACTATGTGGATAAATATTAATGTGGGTTTCTTAATACAGTTGAATCTGGATAAAAGCAACATTTTTAATAATTGAGAATAATTTTTCCGGTCCAGTGAATTTTCAATCAAATCTGTTTTCGGTCTACAAGTGCAAATAATTTTACTTTCAACTTTATTAAATTATTATACCCATGTTGGGTACAAACATGTTTAACTCTGCATTATAAAAACATTTTCTAACAGTTATTAAAACATTACTTTTATTTACTGTTTATACAAATGTTTTTAGCACGATAGTCGTATGTGCAAGTTTTATTTAAGGAAAATCCCTTACCAATGGAATTTTCACTCGGAATTCCTCCTATCCAAGTTCAACTGTATTTTTGTATATTTGCGTTTTGATTTGCGAAGATAAAAATTTAAATTGATTTGTAAATTGCGTTTATAACTAGATAAATTATTGCAACTAACAACATTATTAATAAATGATTTTAAATTTTAATTAATTCAAAAGAATTTAATTTAAAATAATAATTTTAAATCAATTTTAATATTCATATTTTAATTAATTAATTATGCAATTTAATAGTATTTTTTTATGTTGAAATAAAAATTAAATGATTAATGACTGAGAATCGTTGAAAATTGAAAAATACTTAAATATAAATTATTTTATTTTTTTAAAGCTTATTTTAACCTTGAACTAGAAGAAAAGTTTTACAAATAAGAAAAATTTCATAAAGTTTAGTGCAAATAATAACACTTTATGTTTTCATCTGTGTGGAGAACATAAAAAATATATGTAAATATATACATACATACTTACGTATATGTTATAAATAAAATACGAAAAAGTTAGTTATAAATCAGACACTTTAATTTTAGTCTGTGATCCGACCGCAATCAATAAAATGTAATTATTTTTTCTAAACAAACGTTCTGTTAATTGAGAATAAAAGATTTTTTCATTTTGTTTTGTTGGTAAACCACAAAATTTACGTATTCTCAACAGAAAAACGTGTTACTGTTGCGTAACGTGGTACATTAAAGGTTGTTTAATAAATACCGTAGAATAATAACTCGCTTATTGTTAGAATTAATCACAACTTTTTTGTAGCTGGTTCATATTTTGAACAAGAATTTCTTACAAATTTCCCATAATTTCTACTTGGTCTAGCCAAATTTTTTTTTATTGACATGGAATAAATTTAAATACAGATAAGAAATTTTTTGAAAAAAAAAAGAAATTAGGAAGGGTATATGAAAGCTAACTTTTAAAAAAAAAATTAATGGTAGAAAATAGACATTTAAATTCTTCAAAAAACTCTTAATTGCCTTAACATATGAAATACAAAATGACCTAATTTATGGTGCAATAGAAAAGTTTTATTAAAATTTTCCCATTTTTACAAATAAAATATACTTAGATTTAAATAAATTTTTAAACATTAATTGTTTCCCAAAATATAATGTCCATTTATTGCCGATTTTAAATTATAATTTTAAAAATAAATTTTATGATAAAATTGGAGTCTAGTGCATGTTAAGTATAAGATAATATACATATTTTTAAATAAATTAAAAAAATGTATGTACACGTACAATAATTGATGAATATTCATATAAGTATAAAAAACACTGTCATAATTAATTTTATAAATTAGGTGTAGAAGCATAGAGCATCAAAATTTTTTATGCCATATGGCAAGAACGTCATTGAAAAATATTGTTAGTACTTGTATGAATATTAATTTGTGGAGAATGGGTAGAATATTTTATTTTAATATTATTTTATTAATTTTTGCATAATATGTTTATTTTTTAAGTAGGTACTGAGAATAATTCTCATTTGGTTGCCCTTAAAATTAAAAAAAATATTTGAGTTTCTAAAATTTCATCTACTTATATGAAATTATTTAATATAAAAGTTTACTAGTACATTTATTATTCAATAACTTGAATTGCAGAAATAGTTTAATTTAACGTGAGATGGTCGCAATCGATCACATTTAAAAGTTCATGAAGGACAAGAAGGATTTTGTTTACAAAATATATCGTGACCCCAGAAAAAGAAATACGAGAAAGGTATAACTTTCGAACAATATTGAAAAGAACAATTTTATTTTTAATTTCAATTCTGTTATACAATATAAGTACAACTTTTTAAATGATTTCCGTTCTTATATTGTAAACAATAATATTAAAAATATTTTTTCTTTTTTAAGTTATTCGGTCATTGTCCTAAAAGAGGGCATTATCCGATACTTCTTTTCAACAATATTATGAAAAAAATTTTGTAATTAAAACATAATGATTACTGATTCAAATATTTTACATTAAATGAACATTTTTTTTTTGTTCAATTTTAATCTTTAAAATTTTGTGCACGTTTTTTCTTAAAAATGTAAAAGTTTTTAAAAATTTTGCGAATATTCTTCCATAAGTTTGTGTATATATGAACACAAAATACTACATTTTTTATGTGAAAAATTACTATCTTTTTTGTAAAGCTTCTATACGTTTTTAAAAAATCTGCAACATTCTGCTTTGTTCAACAATTTCTTACATATATCAGAATAATTGTCGAGAGTAAAAAGTAACAAAATTCTTATTACTTACTCTTTATATCTTATTTTTATAAACTTTATAATACGCATTTTTATTTTTCTTTAGTCTGCATATTAATTAGGTATCATTTAAATTAAATTAATTTCGTGAATATTAAAATGAATTCAAAACATTTTAATGGACTTTTAACCGCAGAAACCTGATAAAATCTTTTTTGTTTGTTTATTGTTTTAAAGATGTATCATCATCATCGATTAACGATACCAATTCCGATCCATGCAAATTAAAACCAAAAACTAAATTTATTTAACGTAGGTTATAAAATTTTCAAAAAACAAACATGTACATATACATAATACTAAAATTTACAAAATCATCGACACCAGCAAAAACATCACAATAATATCAAAATCTTTATAAATAATAAAAACAAGCATAAGAGTAAGAAAAAGAAAAATCTGCAAAAATCAAAAATGAGTCACAATTTTTAGCAGCTATTCATCTCATTTTTCCAAGAATAATGACTTATTTAACTCTCAAGTATTTTTATACCGGTTCGTATGTATCTACCGGTTTAGTATTATTTTTATATGTAAAGAATATTAACAGCAAGCACTATGTACGACTCATTCACCTGATATATGAACAAATTTATCAATAATAAAAGCAATAGTAATAATAAATACAAAAGTTTTTAATGCTACTGTTATTTTAGGTGTTAGCAGAAAAAATTTCATGTTTATTAAATGATAACTTAAAATTTGGTTTGTAAAGCAACATACCTGTTGCTTTACACAACACACATACAATGAAATAAATTGTTGAATATACTTTATTCTGAATATTCTAGGCATTGAATTAAAAAAATATTTTGAGTAAAATCTGAACCATCTGAATAGTAGGAACTAAACGAATACTTGACCGTTCTATGTGGGGTTAGTTATTATTATCGTTGAGGTCACAAAGAAACAAAATACTATATAACTAATGTACTGCTTTGAAAACAAACTGAACTGGATTCATTGGATTAGGCCCAAAATACTGCATAAAGCAACTATACAATTGGATTTATTGATTTTTTTATCTGTCTTAATTTCTAATAATATCAAAATCACAACCATAATGATTATAATTGAAAATTATAATAGAATTTTACCAAATAATATAAGAATTATCGGATACAAAAATCCCAATTACGAAATAATTACTTAATACAGAGAGCTTACATTTTTCACATTTCATATAAAATTTAAATCAATAACATACAAAATATAAAAATTATTCACAAAAATATATTATAACTCTGTATGTATGTACTTATGTAGATTACATTTTTTATTATTTCCGGATGAATAAATCATCAAAATTTTGGAATCTTACCTCTTTAAATGAATCACTTTAAAATTAGAAAACTTTTATAATATTTTTGAATTTTCTGCAATAGTTATAAACAATTATTGATAAAAATATTTTGTTATGAATTTGACCGTATATTTTATAACCACACTGCATTACAACTGTGTAAACAAAATACATTGAACTTTCTCCAAAAATTCGATACAGTTTCATAGCATTTTAGTTTTACAACATGTTGCTTAGA